AGCATGGACCAAAGACCATTCCCAATAAACAGTTTGCATGCGGTCACCTTTTTTGGGAGGCTGAGAATTTAATAATATGGACATAGGCCACTCTGTGCCTGTTGGTCTCAGTGCCAAAGGAACATTTCCTGTCCCATTTAATTTCCTAGCACAGACATAGCCGCTGTGTTACAGTCTGATCCCTGCTTTGTTCCTGTAGCTGTGCAACTGAGCATTGGTCTGTACTTAAAGTCTGTGGCAAACCGAAATGTAGTCTTTTGTGTCTCTGTTACTCAACCCCATCCCTAAACCTCTGTTTGTCTTTGTCTTTTTTGAACTGTATGCTATTCAGTCAGCAACTATATTTGGAAAGGGCTGTGTATTGTGCAGATCCATTTAAATTAAGCAGTTATCCAAAAGTGAAAATCTGCTCTGTAAAGTAAATGGAAATTAAATGAGACTGACACAATGCCTAGTTCTTGGGTTCGCATTGCTAGTGAGCAGATACTTACCACTAATTTGATTTTTCATCAGAAACAGGTGCCATGAAGTGCAGGATTGAAACTCCTGGGGCTAGATGGTCCCAGATAGCAACATCTGTCAGGTATAATAAGGCAGAAAGCTCTATTTCAAAATAAAGTTCTCTTTCTTCTTTTGACTCTGAATGCAGCTCTCCCCTTGCTTCTCACTGAGCACATTTCCTTCTTTAGGGGGTCAGACACAGTCTTGGTAGACTTTTGCAGATGTTCTTTTCCTTTCTAATGTCTCTCAGATAGATACACATTTCATTTATTTTCATCCCGAAGTGCTGCCTAAATATATTGACATTTGAATTGTTAGAAGCAGTGATCTGCAGCTACTGATATTGTTCTTATCTGATATCATCCCATCTTATCTGGGTAGTGGAAACATAAAATGTGCACTGGAAATGGAGCATAGTTACTCATTTAGGTATGTACTCCTTCCAGTATATGAATTATTCTCAATCTTTTCGTATGTAGCTTAATGTATGAAATACAAATGTCATAGGGTATCCTCAGAACAGGCAGAGTGGGCTGAGAAGCTAAACGGGGACAAGGAGCTACTTTGGCCCCGAAGCATTTGGAGGCAGTTGGAAGAAGAAGGGACAGGGTGTGAAATTCAAGGGAGTTCGAGGCTGAAAGGGAGCAGACAGGGAACGTGAGGGAAGGCAGAGCACATGGGACGCAGCGGGGCAGCAGGCTGTGTCCACCCGGGTGTTTGCACATGAGCATCAGGGGGTTAGGCATGTTCGGTGACGCTGTCGGGGGGGGGCACTGGCATGTGGCAGAAAGGCAGAGGCAGGGAAGAGGAGCGAGGAGGCTGGGGGACAGCTGGGAGGAACCTGGCTGGTGTAAGAGAGGAGCTAAAGAGGCCAGGCAGGGGGAGGAGAAGCGAGGAGGAGGCAAAGGAGGGAAGTTTATTAGATGAGAGGACTAAAATGTGACATGGTTGCTAAAGCCTACAACCTCCAAAGTATTTAGGAGTCTTGCGCTGAATTTAGGATCTCTGTCAGCATGTGAGCACGAACCCCTTTTCCTACAGAGCAATCACCGTGTGCCACATTACGTGTGTGTCAGATTGTCAGGAGAGGCAGAATTTAAGTGAAATGTACTGATGCAGGTGCTTGCTTTTTTCATCCTAAAAACGGGACTTTATCAAGCTGCTCTGTATCAAGTGCTCTATGTCTCAGGGAGAGCCTGTCTCACTGGTGGTGTGGCTTACCTAAGCAAAGCATTTTTTCATTCTAAGTCACAACTGTGCTAAAGAGGAAGTGATGATATAGTTGTTCAGCCTCACCATATCCTGTGTTCAGAATAATTTTCATTTCTTCTTATCTGCAAATGTTAATGGAATGTCCACAAATATTTTCTTTGTTTCTACGGTAAGAGAAAGAGAGTGTGAAACTCTGTGTCAAAACCACTGCATCATCTGCATCATCCTGTGCTTTTCAGGAGAAGACCCTGACCACTAGAGGAGTCATCTGTGGCATTATTTGTGTGTGAGCTGACATTTTGGTACATTTTGATCCCTTTCAGGTTCACAATTTGAAACACAGACTTGCATGTTACAAACCATAAAGGTTACTTGGTCACTTTTATAATTACACAGTAACGACAGAGTATATCAAAACAGCTCAACACAGATTACTTCCTCTCTGACTACAAAGCAGTCAGGCATTTGCTGGAATTTAACTGTAAGACTTTGGAAATGTTTTTTTTTTTTTAAAGGTTTAAGTTTCCAAATTACTCAGAAGTAAAATCTCCCACTCCCCTGTGTACGCATGCATGGAGCATAGCAGGGTGCAAATGCTTGGGGAACTGTGCCAGTAAGTGGTCACGTGGGAGAAGCAGCTAATGTGCTGCACGCTTCCGCAGCCTCCTGAAAACAGCACTGTTCCCCCTGAGCGAGCACCTGGGGACCGGCCACAAGCTGCGACGCTCTCTCAGGAAAGGAGCAGCTGTCCTGTGCCGTGTTTCCCTGGAAAAGGGACTTCAGCTTGGGGTGTACATTGTCAGAAGTATTCAGACTCTCGCAACCACGCATCCCCCAGTCCTTTGCCTATGAGAGTGCAGAGCCATAATACGGCAGGGCTGGTGGGACTGGGGAAAATAAAGCACCCTTTCACTCCGTGTGAGAAGAGCTGTGTGGATCTCAAACCAGGAATCTTGAGGTTTGGTGGTATTCCCGCAGATCAGAGATCACACAGCTCTTGCTCCTGACACTGCGCCCAGCCATTGACAAACAATAATGGGTTGAAATTGTTGCACCTAATTTCTCAAAGCAACATTTCTTCAATAAGCTTTTCCACAAATGTACTGAGAGAATAAAAGTGCAGTTCATTTTGAGAGGTATATCTGCATCAGGAAAAATATCTATGTGTTTTAGGAGGAATTCTATCTGACTCAGATAGGGCAGCTCCGGTAAAAATCCCTGACTTCCAGTTACATTTGTCTTCTTTCCCTGGAATGAATCTCTGAAGAAACTTTTCTGGTTTTTATACAGAGAAATATTTTGGAAAAGCATCACTGATATGGTACCAAATCAGGAACAAGACAAACAGAGTTAAATAATGCCCAGCTTCCACACAGGAATCTGTTTCTGTGGACAGGTATCTGGAAGTCTACCTTGCCGGTGCAGTACTTTGCACTGTGTTATTGAACTGTTTCAAAGACAAATTTTATGAATACAGATCAAAGCATTTAAGAGGACTGTTAGCAAATATGACCACTTGTGCAAATATCCGTGAACCTCCCTTCAATAGCCATTCAGTAGTTCCAAAGGCTGTCGGGGCATGTAATGATTGTAATAAATGTTGGATTTGCTTTTGTTTCAGCTGGCTTTGACCAGTGAATTCGGCTGATTACTTCCATTGTTATTTTTGCTTAGAAAACAATTATATTGTTATCATTAAAAAAAATCACTCTTCTTACACATTTCTTTGTACTGGTCTTGAAATTCAGAACTCAGTATCCTAGTTAACATAATTTTAAAAGTTATTTCCATTCTTATCTTTGCACTTGTTTCTTTTCAGTGTTTTTGCTTTGTTTCATGCTCCTGAATGCTGCATCTCCCACCTTTGTGTTTGTTGGAGAAACAAACCAATAATTGTTGAGACCCTCCCTGCCCCCAGATTAATAGTCAGAAGTTTAAATTATAACACACACTAAGAAAATATTGGTATTTAGCTGATGATCATGTGTTGTTATGGCTGGATTATAACTGTATTCAGGAGCAGGATACTCCCGTGGCTCTGAGATTATATTCTAGCAGCATAATAGCTCACACAGAACTCTGAAGAAGCTCCTTGTGTTCTTCTGTAAATATACTGAAGATACAGTCAGCCTCATCTGTATTTGGTCTACTTGTGGGAAACAAAAGGATAAATATAAACTGTCCCATTTCTGTTGTGGGTCCAATGTGCAGGACTCATCAAAGTACACCGATGGAGCAGTGCCAGTAAAATTCCCACTGGGGCTCTACAACATGTTGCGACATGACCACCAGGACAACAACAACCTAAAAGCAGACGCTTTACGTGGCATATGTCCCTGGGTAAGAGTGTATCATTTGGAAATAAATTGTGAGAGAAGTTAGCGCTGGTCTAACCAGCAGCATGGGGGCAGAGACAGTCACACAACTCTAAAGGTCAGGAATCTGCCAAGGACCCCTGTGCTGTGTTGCTTCGTTGAAAACTGTCAGTTTAAGATACCTCTGTGTGCGAGGAAACCACAGCGGACAGCACTGACTGCCTTTGGTAAGGGACAGCTTTGGGGAGGGTTTGACTTAATCTGTATCCAACTGATAAAAAAAAATAAGTTAAAATTTCTTCAGTTTCTTCAGAGAGAACTTTTGAGACAGGTCAGACATGTTTACCCAGGTTGGCCCGTACACTTGAGCTAACCCCGTTTCTTTTACGAAAAATAATACATAAAGTATTATTTGTATTATTTGTAATTATTATAATACAGCCATGGGCTACAGGTTCTGGTTTGTCCTACAGGTAAACCCACAGTATTCCCTAGCTTATTTGTTTCCAGTTTGGCTCTGGTGACTACATCTAAGGGGTCCACGAAAGTTGTTTAAGAAAGAGAGGCCTTGTTCAATAGACAAACGTTTGCTCTACAGAGAGTCCAAATCTCCACTGGGAAGTGTTTGGAGTCTGTAAGTTGCAAAAGCTCCAAAGAGTTGTTCTGGTAGTGTGCTGTGATATTGTGATATCACACCAAGGCTGTGCTCTGATACTGTATTTTTGTTGTACCCCGAACTGCACTGTTCTTGACAAGAAGTGGTCTCACTTCCCAACTCATCATCATTGCAGCTATCCATAGTGAGATTTTCCATGCAGGACCCTTTTCTGTGCACTGGCCAAACCAGTTTGCCCTAATCTGTGAGATTTTACAATTTGGATTAAACTAAACAGGAGCTGTTTAAATAACATTTAGGAGGTTGTAATTCTGTAGCTAACCGTGCTCTCTCTTATGTTCCCTTTTGTTCTACAGGTTGTTACTTTGTGGTATAGAGCTCCTGAAGTTTTGCTTCAGTCCAGCTATGCAACACCAGTTGATCTTTGGAGTGTTGGCTGCATATTCGCAGAAATGTTCCGTCGAAAGTAAGAAATACAGTTTTATTTTCTTCATGTTTTTCATTTGAAATTTGAAAAAATGTGCAGTAATGTCTGGTACAATACACTGGATCACATTTATATTGGAAAGGCCTGATGTTTTATTTCCAGCGCAAAATGTAAATACCCATTGCGAATTCATGCTTGTGGCCATCCTGGAGTCTTTATTTTTTGATGGGATTCTGCCTCAGCTCTTGGTAAAGCCTGTATGAGCATTGTTGTATTCCTGTTACACCTGAATCCAAATGCAGATAAAAGTGGGTTAGAGAGGCTGTTGATCAGTTTGAGTAAAGCTGGATTCTGGAAAGTATGTACCCTGAGGAAGGCAGGGCATGGTGGTCAGCAGAGTCGTCTTGCTCTGGAGTTTGTGCATTGGAGTGTCAGGTGATTGCTCGTAGGCCCCTCTGGGCATATTTGAGATCTCAGAAGTCACTGTAAAGTTGGTTTCTAGAGGTAGGAAACAGAGGTAGGATTTTTTTTAAGAATAAGCTATTTAGCTTGAGTGTAGGGTAACGGAGATGTTAAATGTAGTCCAAAAAAAACAGATAAAAGACTTCTTTTTTGGCTGATGCAATTAAATTGGCTATCAATCAGAACTGTCTTGCTACAAAATATTTCAGCTGGATGCAGATGAGTTGTGAATGTGAGTGGAACACTTGTGTACTGGTCTTTTCCCATGGAAGGACACTAATATGGAGGTTGTACCATGTAGGGTGTGGAGAGGAACAAACACCCACTAACCTTAACAAGGTAAATGTGTCTCGATATTAACCCAATCACATGCATTTTGGTTGAGCTTATGGCAAAAAGTGCATGTTTTCATCACCTGGGTGATCTCCATGTAGAAACTGTATAGCATTCTATAACACCCACTGTGAAATCAAAGAATATACATAAAGAAAATGAAATAAAATGATACACTGGGTGGCCTAAAAACCAAAATCAGTATAATTTACAAGGAGAAGCCATACTGCAAGGGCCTTGAGAAACAACTATTTAATTTATACAACATGAAGTTCAAAGTACTAATTGAAGTCTTGCAAAATAACTTTGGGATTCTACTACTTAGTAATGTCAGTATATGGAAAAGTCATTTTTCTTGGGCTTCTTGCCTGGTCAAATGGCCTGGGTAGAATTATTATACTCCACCCTCTCTGTCTCTGACTCAGAAATGAGGTCAGAAAATGAGAGAAAAAAAGAATGTGGATTTTAGGAGTGTCAATTAAACCCTCCATTGCAAACTTTTAAAGATTTAGTCTTATCCCATATACTGCCTGCTTCACAATAGCATTAAGCCATTGATATCTTTTCTGATTTAAATAGTACATTTAGCAACTTCATTTTAGCATTTGCAATAAGAGTGATACAGGACAAACAACTGAACACAGAACTTTATTACATGCTCAAAATTCTCATTTTTTTCTCATTTAATTTGCAGTATTCTGACAGATAAGAAATATTGCCATATACAAGCACCACCAATTTAATTTTATTTTTCCTTTTATGATGTATGAGCCTCACTGACTCTCCAAATCCAACGCAGTAAATTAAATTAGGGACAGTTAAATTTTCTGCTTGTTTACAAATGCAAATAATACATTAATATTACAAAATCAGAGATTTTTTTTTAATGGAAAGGAGATCTGACTTGCAGCAGAGTTTGATAAAACCAGGACTTCTATTATCCTTGCCAAATGCAGGGTCAGTCTGACATTCTCAGTCCTAAATTTGGGAGACTGTCAAAAACTGTAGAGGTCAGGAATCTGCCAAGTCTGTATGTACTATGTTGTTTCATTGGAAACAATATGACTTTCACATACTTCAGTATAGAAGCATGATTTGGAAGACTAATCTCAAGGCTCACTGCCATAAAGCTACAATGAACAGCACTGAATGCTATCTCCATGGACTGTTGTATTGGGTTAATGTTGCAATACTCTCTGTATGATATATGTTGTCTTTCTGATTCTCCTGATGGATTGCAAAAGAAAACCCATGTTACTGTGACCTTGGTAGCAATAAACTGCAAAATTTTGCAAACTCCATGGATTATTTCCAAAAGATTGAATAAATACAATAGCTATTTCTGCTTGAAAATGGTAGTGCCCTTGGGTAATCACTGATCTGCATTTCCACTGGTGTTGATAGGATAAGAGTATGAGAATGCAGTTGAAGCTTAGAAGTAGTTTGACATTAAGACAACCTTTTCTTTTACTGTCTTACTGGGTACTTGTTGCCTTCTTTTCTCTTTGAAAGATTTTAAAGCTCTGTCATTTTGAAGAAATGTACTGAGGCTCCTCTGGGCTTTTTTATATTATGGAGACTTCACTGGAATGGGTTTCAAAATAAAATGCTACACAGCATCACAAAACATATCAGAATCCTGTTTATGCCAAGAAGACATTTGACAGTTTGAGTTTGCTAGAATATAGTGTTGTAGGCTGTTGGAAACACAGGCAGGGTGCTGTAGGTTTGGACAAGCGTAGGAGAGAGGTGAACTCTATGAATGGTCCGGTCCCTATGTTACAGATGCTATGTCTCTAAGTGGAAGGCACCTCATTTAATTTGAATCACCCTTAATCCAAAACAGTTTAAGACAAATGCAAACAAAGTATTTGTTTAAGAAATAGATCGGAAATACACAAAAGTGCATAAAGGAATTCATAGACACAAAAAATAAAATAAATATATCTCCGTCTAGATACACCTAGAGTAAATTTGAACATTTTTCTCATCTTGGCTGTTTCAGCTAGACAAATGACACTTTTCATCTGAGGACTCTGGTCCTCCTGCAATCTGAGGTTTGTATAAAGTCATAGCTATATTTAAAACATGCACACTTTAATTACGGTGCAGATTTGTAGGCTTCTACATACATGAATGCACAAAGGTTGTATCCTGAAACCCCTCGCACAGATTCCCAAGGATCCTACTCTACTTACAGATAGACAGTAAATCGCTCAGTAGTCAGGTGTATGTGTTATGTATGCATACACCTAAGAAACTATTCTGCTTTGTGCATCTTTTTCTGTCCATGTGCACTGCTGATGAGAGCACCCCCAAATAAAGCATTGCTTGAAAATTTCCTTATATTGTAGTTTCCATTTTTAAATTTCCTGTCTAATTAAGTAGGTTGCAGTGACTTCTAGACGCATTTGGATGGACTGTCCTTATCTCACAAAAGTATTTGTCACAGTGACTGTTTTCTTGGTGATTTAAAAGCTATGGTCTATTGATAATAATAACCAGTAAGGAAAATTGTAAGGTATGCTATGGCTTGCTACCATGTCACAGAATCCTTCAGAGATACAGCTGGCAGGACTGAGGGGCCCCGATGGCATGAGGGCATCCTTTGAAAGCACAGCAAGAAGATTAGCTTTTTTTTTTATGTTTAGGTAAAAATAAGGATTACTAATAAAAAGGTTTCACTCTGAGGCTGAGCATTTTCCTGGCCAGTAGGAAAGGGCCTTGTACCTCCTACTCAGTGAACAACTCATTAAAGAGAAAGGCAAACATGGGAGTAGCATCCACTTCTATCTGGATACATGAAACTCTTCCAGCTGGCTCAGGGACTGCGGGCGGCTCCAAAGCAGGAAGCCATGACCAGCGTTTTAGGGAAGGAGGGTCTGTCTCTCTTTTTGCTTGGATTAGGTAATACTTAATCAAGGTGAATGAGTGTGAGAGGGGAAGAAGACTGGAATCTGAATCTGGATGAAACGATCTATAAAAGAAAGCAGGGATCACCAGTCTTGGACTGTCTTCTGAGCAGGCAGTCTTGAGAAAAAATGTTGAAAGGTTTCGATGTTTAGTTCTTAGTGCATCTATACATGCCCAGTCTTCAAAACCACAATCCTATATGATTTCAGTCCTGCACAGATGAGGGTGTTAGTAGGTGTGTATGTGGGACTGATGAGTCAGATATCTTTATAATAATTCCAGCTAGGCAAGTTTAACTGTAATATTATTGTACAAGCAACTGAGTTTGTCTTGCTTTGTAGTAACTATAGAGCTAAAAATCATCAGAAGAGACCATCAGTTTTTGTAGCTTATGTTATATTCACAGCCCAGTCAAGCTGAAGAAGTCATACATTTGAGAGTGGCCAATGTTGTGACTGCATGTGCAATCTTCACAAACATTACAGGTACCAATTCAAACTCAAACTTGAAAGACAGTCCTCTCCCAAAAACCTTTTCCATCTCCCCAAACCAAAAGTAAAACAGTATTATCTCAGTGCCCCAAGCTTCATCCAGCCAAGAGGGAAATTAATTCCATACACATGGGCTTCTTACTGAGACCATTCATGCACCAGCTCCATGGTGTTTTAATCAGCCCACTGTTAGTAAGATCATCAGTCCCAGAATTTCATAAGCCACAAGACTGGCACAAATAGCATGAGGTTATTATTTATTCATTTTAAAATATTAAATCATGTTTTTAGCAGTTGTCTCATTTTTCAGCTTACTCTGCCAGCTCCTAATATATGTGAGACAGTTATTGCATGACCAGCCATGCTTGAAAATTGTAGCAACAGATAAGAGATATGTGACTCTACTAAAAGTCGTACGATGGGACAAGTTCCCTGGTGGGCACAAACAACGGACATAGGCAAACAAGCTATAGGCATATAAGTCATCTTTCAATGGTATAAATTTGTCCAATTAGAGGAGTTACATCATTGTGTGTAGAAAAGCCATGAGCCCAGGACTTTGTTGCTCTAGGTAATGTATACAGATGTGATAAAATCAAAGCTTAGAGCCTTGTCTGGTGATCAGACTGTGATGTGAGCACTGGATTTGGGACCTACAGGCTGCCTTTAATCATAAAACCTTTAACAGCTTTAAAAAAACTAGCAATACACACGTATTCATTCTTAGATACAATGTCTTACAGTTGTCGTGGTTTAACCCCAGCCAGCAACTAAGCACCACCCAGCTGCTCGCTCACTCCCCGCCTGGTGGGATGGGGGAGAGAATTGGAAGGGTGAAAG